CAGTCAACAATTATGGCTATCAAATTAAAATATCACAGCTCAAATATCAATTGTCAAATCCAGATAATGAATAGCAAACATCCAATTCAAGTGTGAAACAGAGGGTGCAAAAATGAACAGTAATTTGTCCATCCTCTCTTTTAATGTAGTAGTGATTCTTATTCCGAAAGTGCATTTAAAGGAAATCACATTATACCAGTTTTCTTTAAAAATTCTTCTAATTATAAAAAATACTTTCATAAAATTAGCTAAACGGATCCAAAAACAGCCTCTGAATCTCAAGAGCTCAGTTTGACTTCTAAAAGTTGGGTCAAATGGACCCCTAAGATGACTAACACAACCTCTTGTATGGTTATTTATTTGCCCTTAACACCAAAAGGATTCCAAACACGTCCTTAATAAGAAGAGTAACTAGAGCTCTTGTATGTTGTTTATTAATTTGTCCTTAACTCCAAAAACGCTCCAAACACGCCCTTATGGAATGTTCATAATTGTGGCAGCATCCTGTGCATCTGTGTGTGTGTGTTTTGTTTCCAACTTTGAATCTGTGTTGTCGATTTCAAATTTCTGTACCAATTCTATAAAAAAAATTCTGTACTTGTAGACTAACTCTTCTGATTGAGATATGCACATACTCTTAATTTTAAGTGGGCTCCGTTTGGCTACATCATCTACAGCTATCTCCTTGTTGGACTGCCAGGCTACATCCTAATTTGCCGACTTCGACCTTTCAAACCCGGTCCAATGTTTAATTCGTGAGAAATCGAGAAATTATTTAATGCACCCTCTTTTATGTACAGGTTGGATTTATTTTATTTTATTTTTTCCTTTAAAAGTTGACATAAATATTTTATATAAATGGTTGGTAATTGTAGGTGCTCTTAAATCTATTTTTACAGCTTGAAATCATTCGTGTCAAATTCGCGTATAAGTTCACTTGTAAACACTTTAGTCGTCGCTTGCATCAATCGCTAGCACTATCGCCAATGGAACAAATGACAATAAGCCCCTACGTAGAAATTGTAATCTAAATCGAAGTAAATATTTAATTTTAACCACATATTTCAAGGGATCTCAACTTTTCAACCGTACATTCATACAATAAAATATTATACATGTAAATCCAAAAATTTTCTTACTTTTTAATCACACGTTCTTTGAAAATTCACTGTTCAAAACAATATTTTTCCCAAAAAAATAACCACCAAACATGGGCTTTGTAAAATTCTAATTTTGATTTGCAATATGTAGATATATAGCCCTTGTTTGATTCTTATTTTGGAGAAAAAATAAATTTTGGAATAGTATTACTTGAAGAATGCGTGGTTAAAAAAATGTGTAGTTGGCAGATTTTGATAAAAGTTGATGAAATGTGTAATTAAAATTAATTATTGACTTTAACATTTTAATCAGATTTTTTAATGGTATAATAAAATAGATATGATTAGTGGTTTGCTTACAAGCACGGTGATCAGTGGATTAATCATTACCAAAATGTTAATTCAAGTTATCATTATTAAGTCTCATTTGATTTTGATAAAAATTCAGAATTTAATAAATTTTGATGAAAATTAATAAAATATATGGTTAAAAAATTGATAGAAGTTGTGAACCTATAAAAAGTGTAATTAAAATTAATTGCCAACTCTGAGTTAAATTTTATCAAT